TTTCTTAGTTTTTGAGATTTACACAAACAATTTCGTGCTGAAAATTTGAATTTCAAGATAAAGGAACCTGAACGACTCGAAACATGTTTCTTATAAGTTTTCGACAATGCTCTTTCCAGTGGCATCATTTTTAAATATTGAGAAAGTTTTTTGAAGGGTTTTCCAGAGACTGGATCTCTGGAAAACTCCTTAAAAAAGCTTTTCAAAGCCCAACTCTTATGCCATTAGAAAGAAGAGCATGAAAACCTATAAAAAAATGGTTCATGAAATTTTAGTTCACTCATAAACCTAAAGTCCGCCTGCTCTAGCAAAAAATGCCCACTGTGCATTCCTATAATAGTAAGACATATTATATTTTGAATGGAAGAACGATAAAGCAGATCAAAATGTTTTACTGGACAGAAAAAGTCTCAGCAGAAAACACTGGCACAGGTTTGATTCTTCATTCATTTGATTCTTATATTTCTGGGAAGAACGTAATTATATAGGTAGGTAGAGTTACTATCATTCATTGATAAACCTGGTCCAAACAGAGTGCTACAAAATGCTGTATTTTGTTTCTCTTAACAACCAAGGTTTACTGAAGAAGCTAAAAAACTGGTTTTATTAATATGAAATATTACGGTTTTTCAGTAAACATTTCCCAGATTCATTACAACACTGGGTCGAAAGCTAAACTACACATTGTTGGATAGAAATCATCGAGGCACATTCAACAGAAATGTCCCCATCTCCACAAAAACATTAGAAAGTTTTCGAAAGATCCTTTTTCTCTGTGGTATTCAGGAATAAAAGTTCCGCAGATTCATTCAGCTTTGGAATTAGGAAATTTGCGAAATTTTTACTGACAAATCGTAATATTTCGTATCAACGAAAACAGTTTTTTTGGTTTTTCCCATAAACTGTTGTTTGTTCAGAGAACTCTACAAAATACAGCATTTTGTAGAGCTTGTCGAATTCTATTTGGGCCAACTTGTCTCCAGTTTGGACCGAGTTTCTAAATAAATCTGGGTTGAAAATATTCGAATCTGGTGTTGATTTTAGCTACATTAACTATATAGGACTTAGTTTTTGGCTTGTGTTTTTGTATGCGTAACTATATGGTATTCTGCATCGTTGCTTCCTTTTATTGATAACAAAAAAGAATATAAGTGTGTCAACGAAACAACGGTGGGGCTTATTCACATAAAGTAGACATATAGACACTCCAGACAGTTAGTTGCTCGATGTGATTCGTAAAGTTATTGCGTAAAAACACAAACTGAAAGAAAACAATATGGATGCTCTTTTTTATGACAAAAATATAGAAAATTTATCCTAATGTGTCAAAATTGTCCAGCGGAACTCAAGGGGGAGGGGAAGTACTACTTCGCCACTTTACTTCTGGCTTAATACTTTACTTCTAGCAGAAAGGAAGGAAAGAAAGGAAAGTTAATTTGTGACATTGTTATTTCATTGGGCTTTTCCGATTTTTTATGTCTGAGAAATCTATTTATTTCCTACATGCATGTGAGGTGGACTGGTCTTATTTAATTCCCAGCGTTTAAATTCTACGGGTCTCCACGCTATACATTCTTCATTTCTACTTCACTAGTTCACGTCATGGACGCTTCACAATCACTTCCAGTTCACTTCAAGTGAAGTGGAAGTGAAGTGGTGCTTTTTATCGCTTCGTTGAACGATTGATAAAGAAAAACGTCAGAACAGAAACAAAAAAAATGTGTTGAGAATAGATTTATTTAAACGGCCTCACCAAGCGAAAGTTTCGGTTGCGGCGTCTCAGATCCAGATCTCATCCTATCGCTCTGTAATTTTTACTGTTAGGAGGTAGTATTGTAAGTCACGCTAGAAAAAGTTTCACAGTAATCGAACGAAATCTCGATTTATAAGGCACCGTATTGCACCGAAATAGGTGAACCGTTATGTGACCAGGCCCTAAAGCAAAATCTACCAAAAGGTTTCAATTAGGATCTCTGAAAAACGATCCTCGTGAACTCGTTCGAAATATTTCTTCGAACAACTCAGTTAGAAGAAAAACAGTTCTGATCAAAAGAACAGACATGTCTGCCGAGAGAACCTTGCGGAAATGAGATGATCGTAAGCCGAACTAAAAAATCAATTAATAATAGGTTTTTCTGAAAGAAGAGTGCTCAGCGGAAAATGTTTTACTTTTTCCCTTTGAAAAAGATTCAAAGAAAAAATAAAATTAGCTTCGATTACAGACAATGCTGCAAAATATTCTTATAAAGGATTAGTACTTTCAGTTACAAGAGGTCTCTTTTAGAATAATTCACCAACTGGTCAAGCTGATGTGACTCATGTACTGTAGAGCTAGAAAGTGACAAGTAGACACATCGAGAAACTCATTGGTTATGCCATTGTGTAATAAAATAATAATTACTTAATCTCTTAGTCTCAGCAGAGGACGTGCCGAACAGATAAAAAAGATCGCGCCAGGTGTGCTACAGGAAGAGAGTTTGATTTAGATAAGATAAGTTGTCATGCATCAGATAAAGAACATCGATTTTACAGGTTAAAGTGGTAACCAGGCAATTTATCTATATTTCATTTGTCCATAAAACGCACTTCAAGTCCTATCTCTTTCATTAAATGGAAGTCACTATTTACTAACCAGTTATAACAAATGCTGGCTTTAGTAAGCCAATCAGATATGGATGTTAACTATTTACTCTGGAAATATCAATTTATTTGGTTAACAATTGTAGAAGTGATGTGGGTGGCCATTAGTAAAACGGTACATTTTGCTTCCCGTCTACATTTCGATAATGGACATGACGTGATATTATAAAAAAGACATGACATTCGAAGAATAATAAGCAAAATCATGAATGACATGAGAAGCATCTGTATTACAGGGTACGCACGATACATTTTCAGAAAAGCAAGAACAGTGAAGGATTTTTTTCTTTCTGAAAAACAAAATAATTTTTTTCAAAAGAAACAGGAGCAGAATGAAAAAATCCATGACATTTTTCCAAATGAAACAGACAAAATAACACTAAGAATACTATTCTTTTGAAAACTAATCACATAGCTGTCCTCAAACGTAAAACACTACTCAACAGATAGTGTTTGGTTTTTCCTAATGTGTTTATTTCATCGACATTTTTCCTACTTTCTCGGTGAAATATAGGCGTTCAGTTTACGTTTACCACCACCAATTAATAACTGAACTGTTTCAGTTTTTTCGAAACCATGTTTCTTTATTACATCAGCTAAATGTAAAGGACCTTCGCTTAATATTGACAGCGCACCTTTCACTTCTCGCTATCGTCTTTTGTTTTAGAAGTAATTATAAACATTTTTATAAATATTTTTGGCGCTTGAAAAACCATCCCATTTTGAAAGATCACCAGATTCTTGAAAACGTCACTGTTGCTTCCTCTTCCATGTTTATCAGTGAATATTATGAAAACAATTTGTTTTGCGATGTTTTTCTCTTCCGCCACTTCTACTCATAAAAACAAATAGATTTTTTATTCAATAAATTAAACAAATCGCAGAAAAAACTAGTAAAACTAAAAGATATATCAGACATTCAGCATTTTCAGTGTCATGGAAGAAACATCGAATTCTACATTTCCAAATGTGGCATCTACATTAAATGCATCATATTTTACAACGACTACTTTGCTTAATACAAACTAAGAACACAAGTTCAACGTCACTATGTGACTTTCGACAGCTTCACATCGCATATTTCTTTGTCCACCAGCGTGCAATTTCGTTATACTTCTGTCGATCTTCTCGACAATACTGGGCAGCTCGTGCATTCATTGCATCATTAGGATTTGCATCGGTTAATAATGAGCATATACCCAATAAAAGTTTTCCCATAGTCCATGCAGGATCCCAGTGAGACCGAAGAATATCCATACATATCACACCGGTTAAATGGATATTAGGATGATAGATTTTTGTAGTGAATCTAATTTGTGGTGGATTAAATGGATAATCAGATGGGAACTGAATGTCTAGACTAAACATGCCGCCTTCATATGGACTATCACTGGGACCCATGATTATTGCTTTCCAATGGAACACATTATCGTCCACTATTGCAGCACTACAATATTCTGAATAATCTTCGACGGCTTTCAATTCTTTTGTAATACGTTTCAACGCCATTTATAATGCTCTATACTCGATGGAATTCGTTTAACTTTCAACAAAAGAACAGATATCGAGTAATGAGATATATCTTCAAATCTTCCACTGTTTTAACTATTTGCTGTAAACTTACATTCGATTGTGAAATAACAGCGATTTTTGACGCTTGAAGTTTGTTCTTCGTCTTGTTTCTTTTCTATCTTATTGTGACTCAGCATGTTTTGTTTGTCATGTTCGAGTTCTATACCAAGAGAAAATGCCTTTTAAGGTTAACAAGATATTTCAGCAACTGATGACAAAAAGTGACGAAGATCATAACGTACGCTGCCATTCGATAACACGAGAACTTATACGGTAAAAATTGAGTTTTCCAGTTGACAGATGCGTATTTGAAACATTTGCTCTGCAGAGAACACTATGGAACATCTCTTTTCTGTTTCCCACTTTTCGAAGAACTTGCGAAATACGAAGAACACATCTTTTGACTATGTACGATCGATTCACGGAAAGGGCAGTCTAAAAGGCGGTCCAAATTCCCCTCATTGTCGATTTTGGTTACCTTGGACGCTAACTAGAAAGACGATGGCGGGTGAAGAAGCTTTTCGATAAATCGATTCTTGTCCATTTAGGAGTCATTGCACGAGAAAAACGCCTCTTTGTCGCAGAAGCATGCTCAATCAATTTTCCAGACTTGGCTTTAACTAGTCTCATCTTGTAGGGCATACTCAAAAACCTATAAATCCAAGTTTTTAGCGTTCTTGATCTTTTCGTTTTGTAGATACGAGAACTTTCAGCAAGCGACCTCGTCCGAGAAAATAAATGGGTAAAAAGCATAAAATCCATATATCTCGAGAACGCAAAGAGATAGGATCAAGATTTTTCTAGCGTATATAGTACTTAATGCCTACTATATACCGGCATGCAAAATATTACGTATTACTTTCATCCCCTACCTCGTGTGATGACTTTAAGACCTCGTTTTTACTTTTGTTACCCACCGATCTCAAGATCAGCCACATAGAATAGAGTCGGACAAGTTTCGGTCGACAGTGCTGACAGTGCACTATCCGAAGCTGTTGTCAGCTCAAATTCATCTCAAAGAGAAAATGTTCGACAACCTGTTAAACTATTTTTTAGCAATAGAGCCCGTTACGGTTTAGGAGTTTTCCAGAGATCAAGGTCCTAAAAGCACTCTGAAGTTTTTCTCAGGACAACTATAGTTCAAGCTGGAGAGTTGAAAAGTTTATTTGTCTACTCTGAAAGATATTTTCAGATATGTCTGTCTCAATATCAATGTGAAACTTCTTTTTCTCAACGATTACCATGAACAGAAGAGAAAGTCGGAATGTGTTGATAGTGGAAAAAAGTCCATTTAAAAGTGATGTAACTAAACTACTCAAGAATAAATAAAAATTCTATTTTTTGCTGAAGCTAACGAGTAAGCAATGCACAGTGGGCATATAGGCGGAAATTAGGCGGAAAATCGAAATAATCCTTTTTTTAAATATAAATAGTGCAAAATGTAGCTCTTGAAATTGTGTATCGAATGGTGTATAAATGTCTATTTTTAACTTCTTTCCTTCAACCAGAAAATCAAGGTACACAAAACTAATTAAGAATACGTAGTTACACACGAA